TGTTACCATGATAACTACTTATCAAGAAAATTTAAATAGCATTGTTACTTATAGGTAAGTTATAAGGACTTTACAGCTTTGAAATCTTAGAATTTGCTGAAATTGGGAAGGCAGTGTTATATTGTCGGGTCTATTTACTGGATACATCCAATTTTAACTTGAGGATGTATTGTAGTAATATTGCTCGACAAAGAGCCTTTTATGGCTCAATGGTTGGGTGATTGGCTGTGTTGTTAGGTGTTTGCGACCTGGTGCTGTAATGTTAAACATCATTCTTCCTTACCTTGCACATACTATACAGGCACTATGTCTGTATAGGCTGGTTATTTTAAGGCTGTAAGAGATCATCAACCTGTTTACAACAATTTCTTGTCACTCATATTAGTATAATGATTGTAGTGTAATGCAAATGGCAGCTTTGATCATTTTAGGTTAGCAGTACTGCAATTTTTACAGTGTTAAGATTACCGAGGTAATAAAAAGGGGGCCGCAGCGTCTCGTATTAAAACAATTTTTTATCAAAAGTGGAATTTTGAATTTCGAAAATTAATAAATTTTAGGATTGCGGGTGACGATGTGATGTCTTGTGATTGCTGGAGGTTTCACAATTTAGCTGTGATCTAGGGGGGAAATGATAATGTCTTGGGATCTCAAGCTCAAGAGATGTATACGATTTCATTATGATCACAAGGAGGCTATTTAAGGGTTGGGGTGTTGGCCGCTCACGTTCATTTGGTCTAGGGCTACCATTCCCTAAATCTAGTGCTGCATAAAAGCAGGTCTCGCAAAGACTAATACACATTTTGCTGAGGCTTTAAGTTGTAATTTAAATTTCCCTATGTCCATGGTAATTTAAGTACACTTGATGACTGGCTTTTAATCCAAAACCAGCTAGACAGAATTCTTGTAATCACAGACATCTATTCTATCAGCCCCCAACATTGAATATTCTTTTGTGCAGTACAAATTAAACCCTTTTCAATTTTGTAAATTTGATTAGAAAACATTCTTTCAAGGGTGTAAAGTCCTTTTTGACTTACCTAATGTTGTCTGTTAAAATATTTTATTTATTTATGTTGTTTTTCTATTGTGTATTCTAGTTTATCATAAGTTGTATTCGTAACATTTTAATAATGTTTTTTAAAAATGTTTGGAAATGAATTTTGTTGAACATAGTTGAAAGAGTGTTGTTTGTGATTTGTTTTCTATGTCTTTTGTATCAAACATTCACAGCGGAAGATTGTGGATAGTATTCGTAGTATGATGTGTATTCGTTATAATTAAAATATAATAAAGAGTTGTTTTTAAACCAATGTTTGAGTTTTTCCATCTTGAATCAAAACCATAATACCTTGGTCATAGACACAATTTGTTGTTTTGGGGTGGTCAGTAAACTGATCAGTTTCAAGGATATCATTGTTAGGAATAGGAATGTTTGAAATATTCAGTGGCTTGGTATATCACAGCTGCAATGCACTTTATTAGTAAAACCTCACAGCTGAACCAAGGCCCCTCTAGAAAAAACAAGCCATGCTGCAGGATCCATGACGTCACACTTGGGTATAGATTTACTGCCATATCCCATACGTTTTAGGCAAATAATCTTGCTGTTTGTCAGATGTTAAAGGCAAGATTTTAGTACAACTATCCACCACTGTGATGTAATGTTGCGCTACAGCATGGCCTGTTTTTATAGTAGGGCCTTGGCTAAATGCAACAGTTCATCGACTGGGGAAAGTAATTGTATAATTCATTACAACCTAGAGGCAAATTAGGAATCAACTGATAGTGCCCTCTCCATTACAGTCAACTGCATAATTTAAGTGAAAACTCTTAGTAATATAGAACGGCTGGAACGGTAAAGCACACCTACACCCCTTCTTTGATAATACACTGTATTTTTTATCCCCCCCCCCTCCCTAAACATAGTATATGGACTATTGAGAATGTATTGTTTTGTCAACATTTTCCACCTTGATTGGAAATATTGGTATGGTTTTCAAGGTGATGTCCATGTGTATGTGGATGATGTACAGACTAAAAACACTTTATTACCCTCCCTGTAATAACAAACCTAGGTAGGTACTCTTAAAGTAGTGTACCTTGTTGCTTGAATTCGAGCAATTGCGAAATATTACAGGTGTTATTTTAAAACGAAAAACAGTCATAATTAATTTCCGATGACCTTAAAAGAGTCGACTCAAAGATTATGGAAATACTTGCTTTTTAGTATTTTCTACAAATGTTTCCCACTCGTATCCGCATTAGGTTGTCCTTAATAACGATTATAAATTTATAAAAAAACCATCAACTTGGTGGTGTTCTATGACTTTCCTATTTCCATAGTTTGAAAATCGGCTCTTTCAATGATTGCTCAAGAAATGCAGTACAGTGTTAATTCAGTTTACTTTTTAGTTTATCAAATTGTTCAGGCTTTCTCCCTTTTTACCATTGTAATATTTACGCCAACCCAAATTCAACCCGGGACCTCAGGGACTGAAGTCCCGCGCTCTAACCACTACGCCAGCTCGCTCCCTATGGATACTGATTGTGTATATAATATGCATAATTTTTTTAAGAAAGCAATCTAACAGCTGATTTTCGGCCCTAGGGATGTAAAAACCTGCTCGGTCCCCAAATTACGATGGCAGCTAGCATAGACTATGACGTAGCTTTCGGCTCCCAATAAACGTTTTGTAAAACGGCTGAAAACATCATATTGTGGTGAAATTGTTTATAGCACACGTGTCCTTAGATTGCAACTAAAATATTAACAGCAATTAAATTATCCAGCTGATCATAATATTAACAAATGGTCTTCATAAGGATAATTGTGGGAACTGTAAAAGCCAACTGGGACAGAGCCCAAGGGACTTTGTAAAAAATCTAAGGTTAGTTTGCAAATCTTCACACCTAGACGAACATTTTGGTATATAATATGTGGATTTAAATCTTAAAAAAAAAGCCTTATTGTTTACAAAGTTTCATGTAGCGTATTAATAATATAGAAGTTATTGAAATAGATTTAATTGAAAATCATATCACACAAATGGAAATACGTCTAGTTTGCTGCAGCAGGGGTATTTAAAGTTTCAGTTAGTTAAGTCAGTAATAAAACCCTTTCATAATATTCATAATGAATTCTTCAGTTATCTTTCATTGATCATAAAAAAAATCACAATTTCCATTCCAAGCATTAATAAAATATTTTCATTTCAACAATTAGATTTAACAGTTAGATAACTAAATGCGCATTGCAATTATGCATTTAAATAATTCTCCGATTATTTAAATTGTTTTACATTAGCCAACAAAACAAGTAAATCTTGGAGGACAGTTCTGAAGTTGGTTTCAAGGTTTCAACAATTACATAAGTCTTCAGCATTTGCAGTCTGTAATTATAAGCTTGATCCTTAATAGCGAGATCCATGGGCGTACCCAGAGAGGGGCAGGGGGGGGCAGCTGCCCCCCCCTAGAAGCCAGGATAAGGTATAAAAAATTGAGAGATTGGAAAATTCTTGACATAAAAGCGTTCCAAATTATTCCAGGATGTAATGAAGCCTGATGCGTATTTAAAAATAATTCTTAGTTATGGATTTTGCTTTTATTTAAAATAAACTAATTATTCAATTTGTAAACTGAGACTCTTTTTTATTCATCTATACTATTTTGGCCTCAGTACAGTTTTTCGGCTACCATATAAATACCACATTTTATCTAATCATAGATTAAAGACAAAGAGTAGACCTTCAATGTCCGTACCCGATCGGGAACGCTCGGCAATGCCTTTCGTTCGTATATCTTCGTTTTTGTTCTAGCCCTAGCGTCGGTCGAAGGCGGACCTATACCACGTAAGCGTGTAGTGTGTGACTTGCTTTTTGTTGTGGTGTAGGTTGGTAGTAAATTTACCCAAAAAATCCCCGTCTGACAAGCTTAAAAATTAACTTGTTTCCCCGTCTTTCTCCCTCCAATTGGCAATACAATCACATCACAATGGTACCGGCAACGTTCCAAGCAGTGCTGCTATCTGTGGGCGTTTTAGCGAACTACGTCGACTCTTTTGAAAGCCAATCACAAGTCACATACGGCATACGGCAATTGGGAGTGTTCGACGCTGAGGGCTGCGCGCGCCGCACTGGGTTGGGGCTAGAGGTGGGCTAAAAGGGTACTTTCCTGTACCCGGGTACAACAGTTACAGGTACTCTAAAGTACCAGTTACAAGTACCCGTTACAAAAGTACCCGGTTACAGAAGTACTCTAGTCCAGTGTAGGTAGATAGTATCTACTTGACATTTTGGATTCATACAATGAAATCGGTACTGATACTGAGTACCTCTTTACCTCCTTTTGTGTCTGTTATGTTTATTCAAATGTGTAAAGTGGTTGTATGAAAAGGCTTACCACTTTAACCTATTTATTAAAAAAAAAAATTATCACACAAAATATGAACCCAACCGGTAAATTTACTTTATTGCAGTAACCTAAATTGAGTAAAATATCGAAATGAAAAAGTAGGCCTATATTCAGGAATTAATTCCCTAACATTATTTACACCTAGTGACAGTTAGTTGTGGTTAGGCCTAAAATTAAAAAACGTAGTTCCTAAAAGTGCCCCCACAGCTAACAAGAGCGCTGCTGCTGTGTCAGCTCAGCAATAAAGTTACTTTTAAACGGGCACTGACTGTAACGGGTACGGCTACCATTACCTGTACACAATTTTCCTAACTCCCTAGATAGATATTAGAAGTACCCGGGTACTTTTGTAACGGGTATTTAAGATTTTGAGTAACCGTTACCCTCCGTAAAAGCCAGTACCCGTTACAAAGTACCCGTTACAGTTACTTGGACACATCTCTAGTTGGGGCTACGTCTGCCATTTTTATGTACCGCAGCGAAGCGAACGTGTAAAGTTATTGCTGTTCTTGAGACTCTGTAGTCTGTATTGAAGTAGAGTAGAATATATGTGGTTTATGATTTGATGTTTGAGTAGAGAAGCCGAAATGGACATTCGGAAGTGGTTTCACACAGGTAAGTTGAATACTAAAAACCAATTATACGTATAAACTGCAATTAATTATTGTAAGCATAGGCCTACACAGTACACACTGTTTTTAGTGAGGTTAGATGAAGATGGCCAGACTCTGAGATTCTTAGGCATACTGGCTCACAGTGTTGCCAACCTCTCATTCTCAGATAGATGAAAACATGGTTAATTGTAAAACGTTTTCGTACCTAATTTAAAATCCACATTATTGATATATAACAATTAAAATATTAATATACGGTTATTTCCAGCCAATGAACCTCACAAGAGGAAAAAAGACCAAGATGATGACAGTAGTGGAAGCAATGATGGCAATGAAAATAGATCTAAAAGGCCCGAACTATCTGGACCAAACACGCGTCCTGAGACATCCAAAACATTTTCTGGACATGATGGCTACCATGAAAATGATATTGGTAATTATATTGGTCAGGCCACTAAGATACAGCCAGAAAAGAAGAAGGAATTACTAACCAATCCTTGGGTTCCACCATCAACTTACGATTTTAGTTCTGATGCCAGTCATTTAAAAAGAAAAATGAACCATTCCTGGTTGGATCAATATTCTCCTTGGTTGGTTTACTCAAGCAGTTTAAAAGGTGCTCTTTGCCTGCACTGTGTGTTGTTTCCTCCTGTTAGTGGTACAATCAAAGGAGTTTTAGGATCGTTTATGGTAAGGCCATATGTAAAGTTTAAGGACATTCATGAAGATTGTAAAAAACACGCCACCAGTCAATACCACAAAACTTCAACTGCCGCTGCAAAAGCCTTCCTTGACAGTGTCCCTGTGGATGTCCAGCTGCAAAGTGGTCACCAGAAGACTGTTGAAGAAAACAAGCAGATATTGTCATCTATTATTTCGTGTATTATATTTTGTGGAACACATGATTTGCCGCTTAGAGGGAAAAAGGAAGACGAGGGCGTGTTCTTTGATCTATTAAACTTGAGAATTGACTCTGGTGATGAAAATCTGAAGACTCACCTGCAGAGATGCCAAAAAAACGCAGTCTATACTTCACCAAAAATTCAAAATGAGATAATAAGTTTATGTGGTGAAGTAGTCAAAGAAATGATCATTGAAGATTGTAAAAAAGCAAAAGCTTACTCTGTAATGGCAGATGAAACCGCAGATATTGCTGGCAAAGAACAACTGTCTATAGGCTTGCGGTTTTATGACGAGGTTCAAGAAAAAATCAGAGAGGAATTTGTAGGCTATGTTGAGTTGAAATCTCAAGATGCCGCTACAATTGCTAGCACAATTGACAGTTTTTTAGTTGAACAGAATCTTTCCATAGAGAACTGTGTTGGATTTGGTTTTGATGGCTGCTCCACGATGGCTGGAAAAGAAGGTGGTGTGCAGGCTATTCTTAAGAAGAAATATTTTAAATCTTCCTTTTTCCATTGCTCAAGCCACAGACTAAATCTTGTTGTCAATAATGCTAGCAAACTACCTGAAATAAGGAACGTGATTGCTACACTTAAGGACGTAATAACCTTCTTTAGAGAGTCACCAGCTCGCAGGAATTCAGCTCCTAATCTTTCAAGACTCTGTGAGACCAGATGGTCCGAAAAATACAAAAGTATTAGAACATTTTCAGACAACTACAATGAAATTGTGAATGCATTAGAACAGCTTTCGGTTGAAGGAAACTATGCAACAAGAAAGTCTGCCTACCAGCTGCACTCGGCAGTTACTAAACCATTTTTCATTGTTGGTGTAGTCATCATTGCTAAGTATTCAGCAATTTTGGAACCGATTGTCAATGTGTTACAAGGTAAAAATATGGATTTGATTATGGTGAGGAATCATATTAGTCAAATACTTGATGTCATCAAGAAGGACCGACAAGAAATTGATCAAGTTTCTCAAGAATTGCTTGAAAAATGTCATGCAATGGCATCAACAGCCGGGGTTGAATTATCAGTGCCCCGGACTGTACAGAAACAAACACAAAGAAGTAATCCACCATCGGAGACTGGGGTTGAATACTGGAGACGATCGTTGATGATACCATATTTGGATTCTCTTGCCATATCACTAAATGTTAGATTTTCTCAAGACAATACACCAGCATTTGCCTTGTCTTATTTACATCCTGCTTAAATGCTGAAAATGCCATCCAAAGATTTAAGAAAACAAGCAACCCCATTCATAGACTTCTACGAGTTGGGTGGCATTCAAGCGGAATTGGATGTGTGGTACAATGTTTGGAGAAAAAAGGAATTAGCTGAAGCTCAAATGAGGGACATTGAAGTGGCAGCTCTTTTTGAGGAGGCGAATATTTTTTCCCCTTCAACAAGACACGCACTCTCAATTCTAAGTGCTTTTCCGTCCACCACAGCTACTGTAGAACGTTCTTTCAGCACGCTGCGAAGGGTGAAGACCTGGCTCAGGAATACCATGGGAGGAGATAGGCTGACGGGGTTGTGTCTGATGAGTGTCCATAGGAAAATCTTCAATGAAAATCGGGACTTGATTCAAAGAAAAGTACTAGAAAAGTTTTCTTCAAATCCCAGAAAAATGTTGTTACTGTAGTATGAGAGAAGATAAGTAAGATAGTTCACAGATATTTATGAAATTTTTGACACGTTTTCAATTTTTCATTAGATTCTAAATCATTCTTAAATAAAATCCCAACAATATTAATAAACAGACCAATTTCTTGCAATATGTATAAAAAACTGTTTAAAGTGTAATGAATTAATATAAACCAATTTTTTGTGAATCTTTTTTGTTTTCATTTGCCTTCAACAATAATGTGACGAAAAAAATTGCTTTTACGGCATAAGTTATCAGCAGGCTCAAATAGTTTACCATATGGTTTGGGTGTTAGGGTGTTAATGGATGTGAAAAGTCGGCATGGACATAAATATACAGTTAAATGTTTATTGTAAAGCTAAGCAGCCTGACCTGATCCCATTGACGGACATACAGCCACTTAGTAAACGCTGCATTATCGAGCTAGGTTTGTTATATTTATGTCTCAAAATAGCGTTAAAAACGCTAATTTCAGCATATTGTTTTTAAAATTTTCCCGGGGGATGAACCCCCGGACCCCCCGCCATTCAGACCCCCCGGTTAGCTGCCCCCCCCTAGTTTTGGTCCTGGGTACGCCCTTGGCGAGATCACCAGATAAAGTGATGTTAGTGAGGTGATGTTGTACAAATGTTGGGGGTTTCCAACAGACAAAAAATAGGTGTTGTTGATAGCAGCTTGCAAGTTAGTTATATCACTATTTAAGTTGTGGCACACACAACAAAAGGTGTGGTTCAACAGACATTAACACGTTTACTGCGGCCCATCAAATAGCAGGCGTAGCCCCAGTACGGCGCAGCCCACAGCGTCGAACAAACCCGATTGCCGGGTGATTGGCTTTCATATTTTAGTATGACGAATATCAAATAACGTATGGTAATGTATTGTTTCATGACAAGAGTCGACGTAGTTTGCTAAACACCCACAGTAGATGCCATTATTTAACAATAAAACACACTAATATAGCACAAAATTACATTTAACAAACATAATGAGTGAGTGAAAATCCACCAGGTATAGTTTCGGAACGAGTAACGATAATTACAAACGGATTGCACCACAAAACTACCACTGTCATACACGAAGCACAGACAAAAATACTCCGACCTACACCAGAGTGCGGCTGCACTCAAACCGAATAAGTTTGGCGGGTTCACACTACCGCCCGGGCGGTACGCCGCAGCATGGCGGAGCGCGGACCTACCGCCCGGGCGGTAAGGCTGGTACTATACGGACGCTAAATGCGTCGCGTTAAATACGCTGCGCTATTTTTAATTTTGGATGGCAATGCAAGTCAATTTGAGTGACTATACGAGCGCAGTCTACGCGGCACGCTGCCCTCCAAACTCGGCGTCGACGCATTTTACGCGACCAGCCCTGGAAAAACGTTAGCAGCGCGACGTAGATAGCGCTGCGCAACGCTAGGGCCGGACTATACGGACGCTAGATGCGTGGCCCGCAGTCGCATTTTCTTTCTTCATCAGACCGTCACTGACAAGATGTAAAAGTTCATCAAATAAGCTAACAGACATCCTGTAATATTGGTAAAATTTGTCTTCATATTGTCTGTGCTTCTCAAACATCAAATGAAACGCACCTGTTGTCAATCTGCTGCTTAGAACGGGATGGGTACCCCAACGTCTATCCTGCCTTTTGGTCTTTTCCAAATACATCTCTAGTAGACACTGAAACCCTACAGCACCGATCTGCACTGCATCCATATTGGCAACTTGGAATAAAGTGATCTGGGAAGCAACGTGGCGGTTTCTGCGCTCGTATAGTCTGGCCAGCGGGGCGTTGACGCAAAAACAGCGCGACGCATTTTGCGTCCGTATAGTCTGGACTACTTATGCGCCGAACTTTGGCGTTAACGCGACGCATTAACGCGACGCATTTAGCGTCCGTATAGTACCAGCCATCATGAATACCAGCGGTTGACTGCAAGGTTGCAACATTTGTATGCACGTATTGAGAGGATTCCTGTCGGAGCTTCAGCGGATGATGGTGAGCAGGGGAGGACAACACTGCTGGAGAAAACCAAGAATATGCTAGAGTCTTTTAAGGAGAAGAAAACATCTGCAGAGAAAGTAGTACCTGAAGCTGTGTCAGATCCCAAATTAAATTTGGCGGAGAAATCTAACGTTGAATTGGTTGATGAATTTTTGGGTCAGGACAATGGACCAATCAAAGTTGATGCTACAAAGGACCTTGTACAACAAGAGCAGCCTGTCAAGACAAGTACATCTGAAACTTTGCTGCCGGGGCTTCCACCATTGAATTTAAGGAAGGAGGAAATGCTATCTTCTGATATCCAGCCTAGCAAGGAAATGTTTAATGCAAGCGCAAAATACCACAAGACCAACGCTGTTCCAGTGTATAAATGGGGCATCAGATTTAACAATGAATCAAAACAAAGTGTAGGATCATTCCTGGAGAGAGTGGAGGAATTAAGAAGAGCTCGTGGAGTCAGCGAACAAGAGTTATTTGAATCAGCTGTTGATTTGTTTGAGGGATCTGCACTTGTATGGTATCGGTCGACAGTAGGCAGGATAAGCTCCTGGAAGGCCTTATGTACTGAGATGAGAACTGTTTTTCAGGCTCCTGATTATGAGTTCCGACTCCATCATGAAATATTTACCCGAATGCAAGGTGACCAAGAACAAATTGACATGTTTATCGCAGCGATGGAGGGCCTATACTCTAGACTATCGGAGAATGTACCGGAACAGGTGAAGTTAAAGCAGATATTTAATAATCTTAATCCGCAGCTCCAGGATAGACTCGCTATGTTTGACATAAACAGCATTGAAGAACTTCGGTTCATGGGTCGAAAAGCGGAGGCAGGCCGACTGAGATCTTTGTTGCCTAGGTCTGTTTCAGGAAATTCCTCTCCATTGGAGCCTGACTTAGCTTGCGCTCAATACCACAAGCGAAAGACATTCTCGCCCTCAAAGGTAGCAGCGTTACAACCCTCTAGACCTCCTAAGGTTCCCAATGCAAACACTAAATGTTGGAATTGTGGTGTTGTTGGCCATCGTCATGTTGATTGTGAGGAGCCTCGTGAAAGGTTTTGTTACGGCTGTGGTCAACAGGATGTGATAAAGACTAAATGTTTAAAATGCTCGCCAAAAAACGAGTAAGGCAGGGGGTCAGCTCGCCAGATCATGTTGACTCCCTTCAAAAACTAAAACCTGAACTCAACAAAATCGATTTCTTACTTCAGTTTAAAGCAAATGATAGGCGTCCATACTTAGATGTTAGGATTTTTGGGAAAAAGGTTAGGGCTTTGTTGGACTCGGGAGCATCCCACTCCATACTTGGGAAGGATGGACTTCAGTGGATTAAAAAAGTACCGGCCAAAATGCAGAAGCTAGAAAATCGCTGGATGGAGACCGCTGATGCTCAGAAACATTCAATCACAGGCCAAATGATAGTGCCAATTACCCTGGAAGATAGAACTAAAAATATCCCAGTAATGATTGTGCCGTCATTGCAGCATAGCTTGATCTTAGGTATCGATTTCTGGAATTCAATGCAGATAGTTACCGACATGTCAAATACTACGTGGGAATTTTCAAGACCGAAAGCAGGTGTGGCCGCAATCAACATTTCAAGTGGTATAAAATCTGAGGAGTATCTCAGTGAGGAAGAAAAGGAGGAGTTAGGAGATTTCATTGAGAAGAATTTTAAGAATGAAGATACTACTCTCGGACGGACTAACCTGGTTGAACATTTAATAGACACTGGTGATGCTACACCCATAAAACAAAGATATTACCCTATGTCACCAGCCCGCCTCCAAGAAGTATATGATGAGCTAGACAAAATGTTGAAACTTGGAGTTGTCCAACCCTCGAAAAGTGGATGGTCCTCACCGATTGTTCTCATCGACAAGCCGGATGGTACGAAACGCTTTTGCGTAAACTATAGGAAATTGAATTCAGTAACTAAGCGTGATGCATATCCCCTCCCATTTGTCACGACAATTTTGGATCGCTTGAGAGATGCGCAGTACCTGTCATCTATTGATATCAAGTCTGCCTATTGGCAGATCCCATTGGCACCAGAAAGTAGAGACAAAACGGCTTTCACTGTCCCTGGCAGAGGGCTCTATGAATTTGTTACTATGCCTTTTGGCTTACATAACGCTCCGGCGACATGGCAGCGGTTCATAGATTCAGTGATAGGAGCAGATCTAGAGCCAAACGTATTCGTGTACTTGGATGATATTGTTGTTGTCACATCGTCTTTTAAGCACCACCTACAGGTATTGGGGAAGATAGCTGAACGCCTAAAAGCAGCCAAATTGACAGTTAACGCTGGCAAGTGCAACTTCTGTAGACCAGAGCTCCATTATCTTGGGTACATTGTGGATCGGGTAGGCTTAAGAGTTGACCCTGGAAAAGTGGAAGCCATAATTAATATTCCGGTTCCGAAGAATCAAAAGGCAGTCAGGCAGTTCTGTGGAACAGCGTCCTGGTACAGGCGTTTTATACCCGACTTTGCCACACGAATGTACCCGCTGACCAATCTGCTCAAGAAGAAGCAAAAGTTTGAATGGGGAGATG